CGTACGGCTTCTTTCTTATTTGCTGTGGTTATTATTCGCATACATTTGAAATGTAGAGGAATGTTTGTGTGATTAAAAAATAATTAAAATGATAATAAATATAACTAGAAAATCTGCTATTGCAAGCAATAGCGTATGTTCAATACTTAAAGAAGTGAGTATTTGTAGAAAAAGCCCCCTTCCCCCGACCTTCTTTCACAAACAAACGAAAGACGTTACGCTTGCTAGCTTTTGGTGGAAGAAAAAGTTACGGGGATTGAAAGTAGAGCAATGTTCATGTCAAAACATGACTGAAGCAAAAATAATTCCTGAATTTTCCTCTTCAAATCGAGCATTTCTGCATTGGACGGGGGCTGATATTTTTAGCTCACCTATGCCGAAGGCTCAAGTGAGCTTTTTTGATAGAAATTTGTCCGTTGTCTGTCGTCGTCGTTGGCGTTGTCGTAAACTTTTCACATTTTCACCTTCTTCTCCAGAACTACTGGGCCAATTTCAATTAAACTTAGCACAAAGTATCATTGGGTGAAGGGGATTCAAGTTTTTCAAATGAAGGGCCACGCCCCCCTCCAAGGGGAGATAATTACGAAATAGCAAAAAATTAATGGCATTATTGAAAAATCTTCTTCTCAAGAACCAATGGGCCAGGAAAGATGAAACTCATGTGGAATTATTGTCAGGTAGTGTAAACTCAGATTTATTCAAATCATCACCCCCGGGAGTAGGGCGGGGCCACAATGGACGATCAAAGTTTTACATAGGGATATAGAGGAAAAATCTTCAAAAATCTCCCTCTCAAGAACAGCAAAGCTATGACTGGTCATATTTATATGGAAACATCGTCAGATAGTGTAGATTCAAATTTGTTCAAATCATCACCCCGGGGGGTAGGGCGGGGCCACAATGGACGATCAAAGTTTTACATATGGATATAGAGGAAAAATCTTCAAAAATCTCCCTCTCAAGAACAGCAAAGCTATGATTGGTCATATTTATATGGAAACATCGTCAGATAGTGTAGATTCAAGTTTGTTCAAATCATGACCCCCGGGGTAGGGTGGGGCCACAATGGAAGATTAAAGTTTTAATTAACATAAAAGTATATACATGTAGGAAAAATCTTCAAAAATCTTCTTTTGAAGAACAGCAAAGCTATGATTAGTAATATTTATATGGAAGCATCTGCAGGTGGTGTAGATTCAAGTTTGTTCAAATCATGACCCCCGGGGTTAGGGTGGGGCCACAATGGACGATCAACGTTTTACATAGGGATATAGAGGAAAAATCTTCAAAAATCTTCTCAAGAACAGCAGAGCTATTATTGGTCATATTTACATTGGAGCATCCTCAGGTAGTGTAGATTCAAATTTGTTCAAATCATGACCCCCGGGGATAGGGTGGGGCCACAATGGGCGATCAAAGTTTTACATAGGAATACATAGTAAAAAAATCTTTTAAAAAAAACTATTTTTTTAAAAACAACAAAGCCATGATTGGTCATATTTATAAGGAATTATTCTTAGATAGTGTAGATTCAACTTTGTTCAAATCATGACCCCTGGGGGTAGGGTGGGGCCACAATGGGTGATCAAAGTTTTACATAGGAATACATAGGACAAATCTGTAAAAATCTTCTACTCAAGAACAGCAAAGCCATGATTGGTCATATTTAAATGGAAGCATCCTCAGGTAATGTACATTCAAATTTGTTCAATTCACCCCCCCCCCCCCCCGAACCACTTTTATATTTAAACTTTTCAACATTTCAAGACTGAACTGATTTCTGCTTTTTCCTAGCCATAGTGCTCAGGTGAACGATGTGGCCCCTGGGCCTCTTGTTTATGAGATGATAGAGTATGTGTAAACTTTCTTTCTTTAGCAGAATCATGAACACTTCCGGCCTGCTAAATCTTTTGGGTACAGTGGTGATGAGGTTTTCACGGAACTGCGGGAGCGGATCACAGGATTTTCAACGATTGAAAACGATGGAAATTAAAACTAAATAATTCTCAATATCATCGAAAGAAATTGTTCGTATGCAAGTAATGCATGTACATTCACCAGAAAACGCGAAATGCTAATGGAAACAGCTAAGAATCGCTACTTTTTAAAGATGAATTTATTTTAAATTTAATAAATATAATTTCTGTAGACAAAACAGATGAAGAATGAGTGCTGGCAAAATATCAGATCACATCAGCGGAACTGAATTTTATTAATGAAACTCATAAGATCTCTTTTTCAGTTGTAAATTTTATATCTTGCGTGTCTACGTCGAAACAGGCGGTGGGTTTCGGGTGGGGGGGGGGGTGATCTTGAAAAGAGACATGTTAATTAACCATCATTTCGTAGTAAGTATGAAGCCATAACATTTTGAAAACTTTATGAAGATTTTTATGATATGAAGGTCAAGGTTATTTTATTTATTGTCCAAGATAGAGAGAGAAGAAATGGGGGGGGGGGGGTGAATTAACGCGTTGTCTTCTTTATTTCAAACAAGGAAATAAAAATGCACACACAAAATATAAACAGTCCTTTTATTTACAAAAAACTATTTGCTATGGAAATAGAAAGGTTCTCCGTCTCTTCTCCATCACAATTTAAAAGAAGATTTACTTCTACACAACGTACTTAAGCTGTACATGTATGAGTATTACTCTAGTAGCGTCCCCATAAATTATATAAATGAAAATAAAATGAATAGTGTGTAATGTTTAAGAAACGTTGGTCCTAGTTATTTTTGGAAATGCCAAGATATTTACTTTCTTCTTAATCACATCAAGAAACTGGTAATATATAAAAGCTTCATAGATGGACCTTTATGTATCCTAGGATTATTACGGGAAAAGAAATTAGGAAGACAAAGAAATTGAATAAATCACAAAATCCATACAGAATTAATACAAACTCTTTATTAAGTGGGCATAGTTAGAACAATTGAGATGTTTCCGACGCGCAATCAATGGATCAAATACGTGCCGTTGAGTTTGAAAAAATAAAACATTTCACACGTTTAAAGATTATAATCAGGAAAATATAAAATATGAATAAGTCATAAATGTAAATATAAGTAATAAGGTATCAATTTTAGACATCTATCTGGATATAATTACGGGTTGGTACGAGATCAACCCGTATTTATATCCCGATAGATGTTTAAAAATGATACCTTATTTCTTAATTAGCTATAGAAACATGGGGGTTATTCAAGTCCAAATCGATGAAAATTTTAATTTGAACGTATAAAACAAATGTCATGTTCATCTTCACTAAATCTCGTATTTTTATTTTTTTTTTTTTAGCTCAAATACGCCATATATAGCTTTAAATATATAGGTGAAAGATCTTGATAAGATTATTATCCTTCTGTTAAAACATTTCCTATATAAAGTTAAGAAGGTAAAATAGCTATTTTTCTATAGTCTGAAAATTTCACGTCTAGCAAAGCTATACACCGGGTTATAGTTTGTGTAAAATATACACATATCCATTGGTTGTGAGTGGGATAGCTCTTTTATCAAACCCTTGACAGGAACTATTCCCCTAGGGCTTGCCCGAGGGGAATAGTTCCTGTCAAGGGTTTGATGAAAGAGCTATCCCACTCACAACCAGTGGATAAGCGTTTTATTATACTGATGTATATCATAATTTCTGAGGGTTGGATTTCCTGATACTACAGTTTCATAGGAAAAACATGAAAAGAATAATTATAAAAGTTCTGAGCATTGGAGTAAGATAACACTGCAAGAATGAGCTAAAATCCTGATGACGTCACAATGCTACTGAAGGTACATGTGTCTGTCTGTCCCTCTGTCTGTCTGTCAGTCTGTCCCACTTGGTTTTCCGCATTTTTTTTCCTAAACGCTTGCAGATTTTGAGCTGATTTTTGGTAAGTAAGTATATGTTGATGAGTTACAGATCAAGTTTGCATTTCGTTCTGCTTCATTGATTTTTGACGGAATTACGACCTCTTCAATTTTTAAGGGTTTTCCGCAATTTTCGTCTAAACGCTTGCAGATATTGAGCTGATTTTTGGTATGTGACTTTACCTTGATGAGTTATTGATCAAGTTTGCATTCCGTTCCGCTTCATTGATTTTTGCCGGTAGGGGACTATTATTGCTTATGCAATACTCTCAGAATGCTTGTTATTCTTATTAGCGAGCCAACGCATACATTGTACATATAACTGCAAATATTCATTTAATTTTTTATATCGCAAAATAACATTAAAAAGTGTTTATTTAACTTAAAACATCGCACATTTTTGGAATCCTGGAATCCTAGTTGTCTATATAGTTCAAAGTTTAGCACTACAGACCTCTCGAGCTCTTGTTTCTTTGATCAAAAAAATTAAAATTTGAAATACTTGCAATCAGAAAAACACATACATATATTAATGTGTCACTTGACTATATGCGAGACTTGTGATTAAAGCATAACAAATTAAATGTTGTGACGCGTTCAAATAAACCTTTCAAAAAGTTCATATGGATGTTCACATTAAAATGCATTGAGAAATATTTTTCTTGTAGGGCGAACCTACTGCTTTTAGACATCACAATTTGAAAAAAAAATAATCCCATGAATAAAGTAGAAATTGTTTGTATTTTGAGCTCTTTGTTCCACATACAGTTATTGTCTCTTTTCAAAATCATTAAAAAGTAGAATTTTGGCATGATGCTTTCTTTGGTTTCTTACCTTGTTGAAAAACAGGTCATATTGATAATATTTAATGTCGAGGGGGCGTTACAAGTGGGGATTCCTGAAGGGTTCAAAACTTCTTATAATTTCTTAAAAGTAAAGTGAGATGAAACCGAAAACACACACCACCAATTACTAGCTTGAAAATTTAAAAGGTCGGGATCCTGAAAGTCATTTATAGGCTACCTATCATCTTAAATCTATCATGTTCTTTTTTACCCCATATCCTATCGACATTGTTAATAATCAGGCATATCACATTCTATCTGGGAAATGAATAAGGAGCTTCACCTGTAGCCTCTCAATGTGACCGATTCATTCTTGTAACACCGGTGAAAATGCCATGGTGAGTAATCTAAGGCAGTTGTAACCTTTCTATGAGACTATATCCATCGTTATGACTCTCTCTAATAATATAATATCACTGACTGTGTGTTTACAACCATCGACCCAGTAGATGCCGTAAATATCCTAAAATAAAGACACGTCAGAAATATTTATAAACGCCTTCTTATGCCTTATGCAGTGAGGTGTGACTTGTATTCATCCGCTGATACTGCGGCTAATTACAGGAGAAGAACCCTAAAGTCTGAAGATTGAAACGCTTTGTACTTTGTTCTGCGGGCTAAAAAAACAAGTTCATACAAATAATTAACCATTAGAAAACATCTGTATTTAATAATAATATGGCGTTCAAAATAAACTTATAAATTAAAATTTCAATGTATGCGCTCACTGTGATAAAGATAAACCCACCCACCCCCTCCAAAGAAATGTCATAAAAAGCACATAAGAGATGAGCCCTATGTATTGATCAAATAAACTAGTTAACGCTGTTATCATTATTGGATTTTAAGACTTCTGATTAAGAATAATCTGGAAAACTAGGACTAACCTTGTGACGTTACTCCTTTTCCATCAATCTTCCATCTCGTTTGAATGGCTTGTATGGTACATGTATCATTGTTGCATACAACAATTACATATAAGTACACATTTATTCAAGATAAATATAAATGACAATGAAACATGCTTATTTTTTTCTGATTTCAGAACGTACAAGGCTGAGAAACTACTTTACATCCATAGTAGAATAAGGTTTTTGATTTAATCAATAATTATTTATGTATTGATTTCAGAAGTTATTTGATATGTATGGAAAACACCAACAATAACTTCCGTGTTTTTTTTTTTAAACTTAGGGAGATGAGCTATCGATAAACTACTATTAAATCCTAGTACTTGCAAGCCCACCTTCCCCTACCCCCTTCCACAGTCACAGATAATATATTTATATATATTTTTCTTATTTTTATCAGTCACAGATTGGCATGCATGATCCTTCAGTACTAAATGCACAACAGACCAGGGAATAAAAAGAATGACATTCAATGAGTACATATTATTAGCATCTGTACTTTTAGTCTGCTCTTTAATCACAAGTTCTCTTGGAGGAAGGGTAAGGATTCGTTTTGTTTTATAATTATTTTAACAATATAATTTAATTATTTACAAATACATTATAACAGTTTTTTATTTATAAGTACATTATATGAATTATTTACACATCCGTTGGAAATTTGAAAATTAATCAGAATTCAATTGGCCTAAATATACATATAAAGTGTAATGTATTTGCATATAACACAATTCACAGATCATAAAGAAAAATCGATTTCAATTTCAGAAATCTCCATGTCCACAATCTGTGGATATCGCTTCAATCCATATTACAAAATGTCCCCAAAACAGAAAAGAAATGGAAGATAGATCTAAAACTTTTAAATGCGAAGAACGAAAGCAAAACTGCACAACCGCTGACCTATATAAATATCACTGTGTATTAAACTCAAGAGGTGATGGATACATTGAACTGTGTGCCCCAGAAGTAGAAATAATTGGTAAGGAAAAATTTCAACTTTATTATTACATGATTAAATGATTTTTAAGTTTCTGGTTAATTTAGATATGAAGAGTTATTTCCTCACCTGCACTCAACATTCTAGGGGAATATAACCTATGTTTTTTTTTTTCTCTTATATTTACATTTGCCAATGTCTTTCCTTATATAACAATACTAATTAAATTGAAATTCAATTTTCAATGACATGCAGTTCGTCACATGATAAGGCTTTCTTGCGTATGGAAAGCAAACTGCACGAACCATTTGGAAACTTCCGATTGTGACGTCACATGACGTAGGTACGTTATGTTGCATTTCCATAGCAAAGTCTAAATAATGTCTATATTTCACGAATAAAAAAGTGAAATATAAATATAAGAAATAAAATATCATTTTTAGAGTTTCATTGGGTTATGACATGAAGTCGGTACGTGATCAAATTCTTCTCACGTGACCGATTCCATGTCATAACCCAATGAAACTCTAAAAATGATATCTTATTTCTTAATTGTTATACAGTGTTATATCTGGTATAATCGTTTGGGTTTTTTTTTTGTTGTCCAGTGAAATCTCGCACATCACGCTGGTTTTCGGTAGGTCAGTATACATGTATGATTTGGTATCTTCTAAAATTTAAATCATTTTTAGCCGGGCTCATTGCTCGTAGAGCAATAGCCGGCTTTTGTTACGGTGTTCAACTGGAAATGCTGCTTCTTCACCGCCAAATCAATTAATAGTAAGAAAATAGTACATTTGCCCAACCACCTTTGAGGCAATACACACACTAAATTAAACAAATTTAAGATAAATAAGAAATTCTCTAAACGAAAAACATTAATGGTAATATACTTTCTCCCTTCTTCTTCAGTTAATAATTATTTGTTTAAAATATGCGAAAGGTTTTCATCAGGTCTCCCTGTCTGCGTCACATTCTATAAATAAAGGTTATGTTACCAGGCTAACACTAATGCGGGGAGCACGTGACCAGTACACCTTGATGCAAAACTCTCCCGCTGAGGACTCGTTTGACCTTGCTGCATCAATGTTTATTTACTTCTGTAAGTGGTATAAGACCCCGAAACGACACATGTGATAAATTGTTTACGCTGTTAAATTCAAACTACATTTTATTATTATTATTATTTTTTTTAACATTTTTTATTTATACTTTATGCCATAAATATATTTTTTGAGTTACCTATTCTTACAGTGTCTTGTTGTTATTCATCTGTTAAAATTATTACAATGTATGTTTCATTTCTAGGTAGACGCTGCACTGAATTTACGACCGGAGGTAAATTCCTCCAAGAACATTTAGAGAGTAAATGTGCAACATGTCCATTCAAATACATGTCATCTGAAAGTTACAAATGTATGTATACATTTTCAATAAAATAATATATATATATATATATATATATATATATATATATATATATATATATATATATATAATATATATATATATATATATATATATATATATATATATATATATACCAGAAATATATAATATAAATCCACACAAGTAGTCGTATATATAAAAAAAAAAGTCACAACACCGAAATAAACTCTACCGGTTTCATTTTCAATCTTCAGGAGTTTGACAACATATTGCTTAGTTACACATAAATACAAAATCAACATTCTTACTGTGACGTCAAAAAGCGCTAATATTAATTTACGCATTACCAAAATTAATTATGACGTCAAGACATAACGTAAGAAATTAAGTTCGGGAAATTAAAATTTTCCGTACAAATTATACAGATATATACTGCGGAAAAAAGTATATCTTTGATACAAAATATAATTATGTAGCATTTGAAACAGGTTTATATCTGTTAATAAAAAGTTTTTCTTTGGTTTCACGTTCTTTTTCTGTGGTATCCCTTCGAATTTGTAAAATGGAAACACGGTACCAATATATATATATATATATATATATATATATATATATATATATATATATATATATATATATATATATATATATATATATATATATACAAGTGTATACTTCCCTACTTACCTTGCACATTTTTATTTGGAAGAGTTTTAATTTTAAAAGATGATGCCAATTCTTTTGAGAAACGATTGTAATATTTTTAATATTTTTTTCTATTTGTAGACGAGGAGTGCTACAAAGTAGAATTTCCCCGAACTCTTTCAAGTATAATGAAAGAAAAGACAACCGAATCTTTGAAAAATAAACATATAATTATTGTTTCAGAGAATGATGACATGGATGACAGGTATAGTTTTTTGGATGATGATTATAAAAAAAAAAATCAAATCCTGTATGGATTTGGCAAAGATTTTTTTTTTTTTTACTGGTTTTGATATCCACAAGAAGAATGGAAATTTCAATTATACCAAGTAAAGAGTATTCTATAATGCATTCAAATTTGAATGGCAAAGAAGTCTTACAAATAAATCATTTTTCTACGCCCGTCTTTCGACGCGATATATAATGTTATGGCGTTCATGTCCGTCCGTCCGTCAGTTAGCTTTTACGTGTCTGGCTCATAACTTTAATACTATAAGGCCTAAAGTTATCAAACTTTGTCAGCTGATACTTCTTGGGTAGAAGGTTTGTCGCACATTAAAAGTAGCTAGCTTTAACCTTTAATTAAGATGCTATGGCCAAATGTGGAAAAATCCTATCCTGCTCATTACTAGAAAACTATTAAACCTAGAATCATCAAACTTGGCCAAGTAATGCATCTTAGGTAGACTAGGTGTGCCGCACACTGTTTCAATGTCACCGTGACCTTTAATTTAAGTAAAATTAAAAGAGAACTATGTCTTCTAACTCTTAAATTATATAATCCCAAAAATGTAAGAGCATTACAATATCCTTATTTAAAAAAAAAGAAATTGAATCATACTTATTTTTTCTCATTATATACTTTTCAGCAATCTATAACAAATGTCATGTTATATGAGATATTCTACCTTTCCCATCGGTGTAATTATCAAGTACTGGTCAAAGAGAATTTTGATAACAGAAAATTGTATGTCAAATTAGAGAGAAATTAATGAGTTTAGTGTGAGCAGTTAACTGGTAGAGCATCTCTGATCAATCAGGTGTTATCTGTATCTCTTGGGAATCGGGCAAAGGAATCAGCCTCTTGATTAAATAGTTCTTATTTGCTAGCCTAACTTTCAAAATAAATTTGGTGTAAAAAAATGAAAACTAATTTGATATAGCATAGTATAATTAAAACTAATTTGATGTTGTATACAACTTTTTCTATATTTATCTTTGTATCTTTACAATACCTTTACAATAAAAGGGGAGGGGAGGGGGTATATTGAAATCAGTTTAACTGTCTGTCTGTATGAATTGCAGCTTAAAACCAGTCATTAAATTTTAAAAAAAAACAATCACCAAGTAAAAAAAAAATGTTTTACGGTAGATAGTCCCTACAAATATAAGTGTCATGGATTAACCTTATTAAATGTTGCTCCAAGATTACACATTTTTCTTTCATGTTATAAATCTTTGATTGATTGACTGTATGTTGTTTTACGTCCCGTTGGAGAATTTTTCACTCATATAGAGACGTCACTATATACAGGTGAAGGGCTTCAAATTTTAGACCTTTACTCGACATTTAAGGCCATTTAGCAGTGAGGGTTCTTGATCGTGCCAACGCCTACCGTGACAGGGGGGCCTCGGTTTTAAGGTCTCAACCGAAGGACCCGCAACTTTCACTTCAATGTGCCAAGCGGTTGGCGAAGGAACAGTTGCTACCTACATGTAATTTTTATCGACTTAGGTCAGTCCGGGCCTTGATTCGAACATACGACCTTCCGATCACGGATCTGAGCGAGCGCTCTACCGACAGAGCTTTGTAACAAATTAGAAAAAAAAATGTTTTCAACAGAATGACATAAAAATGCATTTGTACTGAACTACAGACTACAGAGCAGATATTGCAGATTCATTCATCCCTTGGAAGTAATGAGTGGACATGTATCCAGTTAAGGATATATTAATGAGTTAAATGTAGGAAGACTATCTGTCTCAATCATTTCTGTTTGAGCATCTCTGATCAAGCAGCTCTTATCTTTATCGTTTGGGAATTAGGCAGAAGAACTGCTTTTCTCTTTCTTATAGCATATGTCACTTGATGGCCAACCTTTTATTTTCAAAACTAATTTGGTATAGATTAAGTTATTATAAATTTACAATAAACAAAGGTACATATGGCCATTTGTTAAGCTCTTACACAACCAATTGAGAAATCTATGATGTAATATTTGTTATAATTAATGTTTACACCACAGGACATGTATAAATATCAAACATTACAAGGAATGAACTAATCATTTAAATTTCAGTATTCAGGTTGAGTTGTTTTCTTGCACTCTAAATTGTTTATGATAATTGAACAATATATGACTGGGTTATCATACTGTGGCGGGGCACTTTATTGCAAATGGTTTACAAAGAATGATATCGTTATACTTTAACTCCTGTTAAAACTGAACACGACTCGTAAATAGAGATACGCAGTATTAGTTTACCTATCTCTTATATCAGCACTGGAGTATATAAACCCTTTGCATTCGATACACCTGATTGCATGCTTGTAGCTGGTCGCTTAGGGGTTTACTACATATCTATCTCACGTTGTCCTTCTTGTTTATTTCATTGAAAATGCATTTGTGTTTATTTACTTCGTAATGCATTGAACAGCGAAGTTAAAATCGAAAATCTTTTCATATTTTTTCCTGACGTGGCAGAGGCATACGGAAGTCATTTTTGCCTCGCCCGAGTATATCACAATGACAATGAAGGAGTCTTGTGCCCAGATAGAATCAATGAAGCAAAATAGATTTGAACCGTGAACAAAGCTACGGCCTATATATTGGCTAAAAAGAATAGTTCTGAGAAGACTAATATGGCGGACAAGATAACCCTCTTCTTTTTACGAATCATGTTCAGTTTTAAGTGCACACATACAAAACTCAGCTGCTTAACTTAGTTATAACTCCATTTGATACTGTGATAAAACCCTCACGTACAGTATATGAAATTCTCTATCAACTACTAATATTTTTGACATAACATTTCGAAAACATTTGAAATGATTAATCAGCTGGGATCAGGTCTTTGAGGAATAAGCATCGCCTGTTGATTATAAATAATGCCTTGCAAGATTTTATTTATAAATGTTTATTTATGCCTGTCAATACTTATTGATCGTTTAACCTATTCTTCTTTGTTCCTCGAGCAGGTCGTTGGATGAAGCTGTTAAAGATACGGAAGAAACCCATCCCGATGCTGGAAGTGATGATGGGGATACCATTTATTTACCCCTTATAATAACACTAGCGTGTATCCTACCTTTAGGAATTGTCGTCTTTGTTGTTTATAAATTATACTTGCAAAGTAAAATGGTTACCATAACGCAGAGTAAGTAAACCAGTCTTCTCCCATGTTTTGTCATTCTGATAACACACACACACACGTTTATTTCAATATCTGAATGAAGGCTTAAGTTTTGAAAAGCCTTGTTTTGCTTCGACGCATTTTTTAATGTATGGCATATACATAAACTCGTTGTAATAATTACAAGTTTCTTAAATTTTCAAGGGATTTTTATGTTATTTGAAACAAATCGGTTCAATAAATGACAATATATCTCAGAAATAATGAAAATGAAATTAAATATAGTTGTATAAACCATGTACCCGATTTAAATTCAAGTTCATAGGAATATCTACATGGACAATAACATATAGATACCTTGCAATGTTGACTTTCTCCCTTTTCCTTTTAGGACGTAAAGGAGATAGAACGACTGATGCACGTAAAGATGAATCTGAAAGATTTACAACGGAAGCAATTTAAAGATCAGGTCTCCTCTTCTTATTCCTTAAAAGTTTTACTGTCAAGTCTGTTCTTAATTTGTTAAAGAAGATTTATCTTTTCTATTTTACGGGCACTTCTGCATGGCTGTATTAAATACCCACTGCTGTTGCTTGCTGATCAATTTGTAAATTGTCATTTCCATCATATTTTTGACGACGGCAGAATGCAAATTATTCTCCTGCGTCAACATTGGTGTCTCTCTACATACAGAGTCGTATCAACCGATTTTTAATTATTCAATACAATTTCTAACATATTTCTGACATTTTCAACTAAGACTGCGGAACATTATAACTAGCTAAATTGGAAATGACAGCTTACGTCATTTCCATCTGTTACAATCAAAACATTTAATGATTGACAATGGAATGAGCGGGTACAATTCGACACGGACGTCCCAGAAAACATTGGATTGAAATTCATTTTTAATCCACCTTACCTACGCTAATTTTCACGGTGTTACTGATTGACCCAGAAGACAAATAATTTCAATTTTGGAATAGTTTGAATTTGATATAAATCAGAATTTTCTGTCCACTGTTTTTAAAGAAATAAAAAGGGACAAACATTTGATTTCTGTTTGGAATGTGTGTGCGTGTGTTGGGAGGGTGTGTTATTATCTTAGTTTGGACAATCCCTCCCTGTTTTAGTTTGTCAAACATTTTTCTGTGAAGACAAAACTAAAGAAAATAGCTCTTATAATCCTAGAAATAATTATATTCTGTCATGTGAAGGCATGATCTGACACTACAGTTTTTGACATCCCCTCCCTTCTAGAATCAAATGGCCGTCCTCTGAAAAAATAATCTCTGTCTTCTATGACTTTTACGTGTCCTTAAAACTATAGGCTAAAAACTCACATAAATATGAATTTCAAAAACATGTATTTGGGAATTGAAATTAATTGTCTTTTGGGTCATACGTTCACACTGGCGTTTGAAAACAGCTCAGGTGGATTGAAAATAAATTTTAAACTAGAATTTCAATCCAATGTTTTCTCGGACGTCCATGTCGAATTGTACCCGCCCATTTCATTGTCTATCATTAAATGTTTTGACTATGACAGATGTAAATGACGAAAACTGCATATTTCCAATCTTGCCAGTTAAAGTTCCGCGGTCTTATATTTAAAAATGATTATGCTTTATTTAATCCATTCTCACTTCTGTATGCCCCATTCCCTTCATATATTCAGTGGACTGTTTGGTAATTCCGAATTATTTGTAGAGTATTGTCAATCATCTGCCAAGGCCAACAAAGCTTGAAGTTTTAAAACATCTGAATACAATTACAAGGCAATAGAGAGAACTCAGAGACCTATCAGTTTAAAAGAAAACATTAATAGTGTCGTAAATACCCGTATTTGTAAAGATGTGATACATTATGTGCAATATTTTTTATTCTGTTTTGTTTTATGTCAAAAAATGAAATATTTACAATATTCTTTTTTACTTTATATTTGCATTTTTTGAAATTCAAATTTTTTCCCAAATATGCAAGTTGTTGAAGAGTTCAGTGTTAAATGTTATTTTTAATACCATTTGTTATTCTATTGTTTTATACGGATTTGGTTTATAATCAACCTTTATCTTAATATGAGTACATTTCTCTTGCTCTTTATTTTTACTGATTCCTGATGTATATATTTGCTTTGTTTTTAACTCGTTATCTTCCTATTTTATATGGTTTTAAACGCCTTTTTAGACATATTTTGTATGTTTGGTCACTGTCATATATTGTATATTTGATCATTGTCGTTATCTTCCCATTATGGTTTTTGAACGCCTATGCGGGGGTTGTCCATAAAGTTCGTGGACAATGACGTTTTATTTGACGGTCCTAGGTATAGCTCTGATTTAAGGTGATTCGAATCTGTCATGAAAGTAATTGGAAAATTAAAATAGGTACCCTCAGATAGAGAGCAAGTTTGTGGTTTAGGAATCACCAAATTTGATATGTGCTAATGCGTTCATTTCCAAGGCAACAACCTCTGAAACCTCTGAATATGCCCTTTTTAAAAAATGTAAAAACTGTGAAAAAAATCCCATTGCCATTAAAGAAAATAACAAAAACTCACAATCAGAATTCACTTACTTGGAAATATATGATAGGCTAGCAGATCAACTTCATCTTGTCATTCTTTATACATGGATATTACTTCACACAGCACTCTTTACGGCAGTCTGAATTTCCTTTGTCTTCTTAAAAATTGCAATTTTTTTCTCTAAACCTTGTCAACAAAAACGTATATTAAATCGCACTAGGATTAATTGGAAATTTATTTTTTTTCTCTCCATTTAAAAAAAAGAGATGTATAGCTAAGTAACAAATGAAATTTATGGAGATAACGAATGGCATTCAAGCTCAAAAGTCCATTAAACATTACAAAATAGGTGCAGAGCAAACACAGACCTCCAAAACATCAGAGGTGGGATCAGGTGCCATGGAGGAGTGAGCATCCCCTGCCGACCGGTCACACCCGTCGTGTGCTACTTGTCATGATCGGGAAATAACGGAAAAATCCGTCGATAATCCAGTGTGTAAATAATGGCCTAACAATTAGTATGAAAAACGTCAGTCAGCATTTGACTCAATGATAAATTGTATTTGCTGACAAGGTCATTGTATCGACCATAGAACTTACGAAATGATGACTTTAAATGAGACTGCTGATATTCTTGTTTCATCAACTTGTTTGTCAATAATTTACCTCGTTTTAGAAATTTTGCTTAAGAGGAATAATTGGTATGTTCAAGATTCAGATAAAAAGATATACTAATCCGAATTTTCTCTGGCCTTTTTTAAAAAAAAAAATACCCCATAGCACATACATCTGCAACAGAGGCTATCTAATCAATCAAAAGTAATCAATTTTCAATTTAATTAGTCAATTATGTTGAAAACAAACTTGAAAAGAAACTTTTGAAAGACAATAAATGTAATATTTCAAGAATTTTGAAATTTACATTCCGAATTTCCAATTTTTTTTCCAGAACTTATAAACTTTCAAATTTATGTTGGTGAATAAAACAAACCACCTAATATCATGATATAAATGTTTTTACATTTTTTTTAAAATGTGATATGTATACCTAATTTAGAAAATAAACCTGGATATATACACAGTTAAGGTGAAAAAAGTGTACATTACTCATCTGAATTTCCTCTGACTTTTTTAAATAACAAACCTATGATATACAATATTTGCCTAAATTAGAAAATTATGGAACATAATTTTATATATATATATATATATATATATATATATATATATATATATATATATATATATATATATATATATATATATATATATATATATAACATAAATTTCTGTAAATTAAGAATCTGACTGAAAGATTTACAATCCAAATTTCCTCTGTATGAAAACCAAAATCAATTTTTGAGGTATAAAAAATATATATATGGGCATGAGAAAAAAATGACAATATCAGTGCTATCTTTTTGCAAGCTGTAACTGAAAATAGCCTAAAAGGACACACCATATGGAGAAAACAGACATTAGTATAGCATAAGTATCTCAAAAGAGTATATAATTTATGCTAGTTCTGTTAATAGAAGAATGGTTTTTAATCTCAAGGAATGCTCTGCACAGTTTTTTTTCCATATTCCAATTAAACTAGCTTCTTTTATGTGATCTCTAACATGAATGTTTTTTCCTTTTCTTTTTTTTCCAACTTGAATCTTTTGACTTGCTGTGGCTTTCAATTGGTAAATTCTTATGGCAGCTTGAGCAATCATTTCAGTAATGGGTGGCAGGTGGTGGGGAACAAACCTTAGCCTGACATTTTTTTTTACAGGTATAGCCTTACTGACAGGTGGACAAGGATTATACATCTAATCATATAACATCTGTTATAAAGTTACTCATTACTGAGCTATTATTTTTATTTTAATAGTATAATTGTAATAAAAATTGTATTAAACAATTATAATAAAAATGGTTTCAAACCTATGGAATGAATGGATTTTTACATTACACATGAATTTTGTTTATAAATGTGTGCAAAGCTTCAGCATTCAATAAACCATAACAAGGATGAAAAGGTTAAATAATGATTTTTATTTTGTTGTCAGAAATGTTAGTATTTATTGTAATTTATTCTAACCCAGCCTGATGGTTTCAACATCAAGGTTATTTATCAGTGCATCTGGATCAGAAGGAACATAATACCAAGAGTTGAACATAATAGAAAATTCTGACTCTTCCTTTGCCAACTTTCAAAAAAAACCTGTTGAGATAATAAATCACGCATAGGTATTCAATTTACAAGAGAATCTAATAGGCATTCCTTTAAGAGTGTTTAACACTAAATAAATTTATGTCAATTTCAACTCTCTTGAATTTTAACATTTGGGAAACAGCAGTTCAATTAAAAGTCTGTATCATATTCTATAGCAAAACGACTTTTAAATTCTACTTCATCTTTCATATCATTAAAACAGTTACATCATGAATAGAGATATCATAACCTGGTATTCATTTACTTTTTTTTAAATATCTAAAGTCACAAGTAATGAAAATGTTCAATGGTAAAACTTTTTTAATGTGCAATCGGTTTTCTAGTTGGAATGCACATCAATCCCCCATTATCTCTGATATCATCTCTTTACTGTTTTGGGGATCATCTTTCTCTAAAACATCTTCCTTCCTTTATCTGAAATTAATGTTAAAATAAAAAGTGCAAATGATTTATCAAACTGTTGCACAGTTATACGATTAAAAAAATTGCCTATGCAAGTACATGTACATTTATTAAATTCCTTAATTTTTTTTCTTCCAAATGGAAACAAAACTAATAAATGAATGTGTACAGTGTACAAGCTCATGAACAAGGGTCCTCAACATTCTTTTAAATAAGAATATAATTGGTCAACTGTCCTTCAGCATATTTTTTTAAAACAGCCTTTAAACCGCATGACTTATTACATCAAGTTTGTAAGTAAGACATCAATCAATCATTTTTTAGTCATATTGACCACTGAAATGTTCATGAAATGCAATTATTTTTCCCTCAAAAATATCATGATCTCAATTAGCAATTGGTCTTTCAGATTAATTCTGTTCACTGTAATATCTGTGTTATCTTCTCTAAATATTATAAACATGGGACCCATTTTTTTAAGTCATTGACAAATATGCATATTTTTGTGATATAAAGTATATATTCTCAGTTGTGTAAATAAATTAAATATTGTTTGACAAACACAAATACACTGTACAAAATGTGGCAACTAATATCATAATCAGAACTCACTGATGTCATTGACTCAATCATGGTTGGTTTTGTTTTGTTTGTTTGTTTTTTCCTTTTATTTTCGAAAAAAAATAAATAAAACAGATGTACATTGTTCAGATTATATTTTTGACCTTTTATTATAATATCTAAAAATTTCGTATACTAAGAATATGACATTATCATTGCACTAAAAAATCTGCTGTACTACATGTACTTACATGAAAATCATGATGAACATCGTGATCTTGTACCCAGAAATGAAATCGCCTGGATAGTTGTTGTAAGATACCAAACAGAATAGATCAATAGACTTCTTGCATATGAATACAACCGAATATACAGTTTTTTCTCTGAAAATGGAAGTGACCGTCATTTTAGAGTTTATAACATAACCCAGTCACGGTTTCCGGGAAAATTATTTCCGGTATGGCTTTTTTCAATATAAAATATGTTTCTAAAGCTGCAGCGTCCATTCGAATGGAACAGAGTTCAATCATAAAAGTATGTTTTAATATGGTTGAAACGACATCAGAGACAATTATCATTGAAACAACTGAAAGTTATTGGAATATATTTCGTACATTGATTTGAAATTGGTGTATTCGATTTTTCAACGGTGTTTTCAATTTTAGAGACACTATAAGAAGTGGAAAACTACAATAATTTGATGAAAGTAGATAATTATTATCCCTTTTCATGACATTGTTATAAATCTAGGACAGTCAAGGACATGGCTGTGCATCTTGAGTTAACAAAGTGTTTATACTGACGATGCTTGTAATTTTTCGTATATTATTTTGAAGTTATTACTCGATAATGATTTATATATTAATATCAATCCACACGCTTAGCCGTGTGACAGAATAAAGAAAAAAGCGCCTGTCCACCAATATGTTATAGAAATTCAAAATCCATTGCCCGAAAACACAGACAATAATTGTTTTGTTATATGAAAAACAAATCATTAAAAAAGTATATTGTTTTGAATAAATTATCTGCATCTTGAGTGTAGACCTAGTGTAAGCAAATCTTGCCTTGATTGTGTTACTTGGTTTTTCTATTGTGACGCTCTTTATATAGAGAATCAGTCAATGTAATTGATATTAGCTCCTCCGAAAAAATATTGACCTGTTATTTAATTTCAACTATTGTCCGACAAAGAGAG